TAAAGTCTGGTCCCTCTTGCCCTGTGGAGATATAAACAATACCCTCCCCTTGGGTGGGTTAGTGCCCTGTGCCCCCACTACCCATTTCTTTTTAAATTTTTTTCCTTTCCCTTCCTCCTTTTTAGTTGGCTACCATCTGGTCCCTACCATATTACCTGGTCCTCACCCCAGGAATGTTTGTATACAGTACCTTTTTCCTTATGTCCCTTTGCATTTTTTTTAAGCTTACCTCGGTGGACTCATGTTGTCCTTTTGCTTGGCTTACCTCACTTAGCATGATGTCCTCCAGTTCTTCCCATGCAGTGATGTGCTTCATATATTCATCACTGCTTTTTAGCGATGCATAGTACTCCATTGTATGTATGTACCACAGTTTTTTAATCCATTCATCAGTTGATGGAAATTTGGGTTGTTTCAAACTCCTTGCAATTGTGAACTCTACTGCGAAGAACATTGAGCACAGATGTCTGGCCGTGGTTTGTTTCTTGCCTATTCTCGGTATGTGCCCAGTAGGGGGATTGCTGGGTCATGTGGTAGCTCCATTTCCATCTGTTTTAGATATTGCCAGATCGATTTCCATAGTGGCTGTCCATACCTACAGGTCCACCAGCAGTGGATGAGAGTTCCTATCTCACCACAGACCCTCCAACACTTGTTGCTTTCTGATTTTCTGATTAGGCTATCTTTGAAGGTGTTAGGTTGTACCTCATTGTTGTTTTAATTTGCATTTCTCTTATGGTTAAAGATCAGGAACATTTTCTCATATGTTTGTTGGCCTTTCGGATCTCAGACTCTGTGAAACTTCTATTCAGGTCCTTTGCCCACCTCCTCAGTGGATAATGAGTTTTTTTCTTATTGTAAGCTAGCAGAGTACTGTAGATTTTAGTAACAAGGCCTTTGTCTGATGTGTCATTGTTAAAGATGTTTTCCCAGTTCGTGGACTCTCTTATTACTCTCTTGGTGAATTCTTTCGATGTACACAGGTGTTTTATTTCAGTATATCCCACTTGTCAATTTGTGCTTCCTCAGTGTTTGTGTCCTTCCCTATTTCTGATGGCCTATGTATTCCCTGTGCCAAAGTTCTCAAGTTCCCTCATTGATGGCCCTAATCGTTTGGGGTTTTACTTCAAGGTCTGTGATCCACCTTGAGTTTATTCTTGTGCATGGAGTAAGATAACCGTCTTTTTTTGTTGTTGTTTTGTTTTATTTATTTATATATTTATTAGATAAGGGTCTTGCTTCATTTTTCTGCAGGTAAATATCCATTTTACCAGCACCACTTGTTGAAGAGGGGATCTCCTTCCCATTGAATATTTTTGGGCCCTTATCAAAGATCAGTTGTCTGTATGCTGATGTTTTTATTTCTGGGTTTTCAGTTCTTTTCCATTGGCCCGAATATCTGCCACTATACCAATACCACTCAGTGCATTCTTCAGTAAAAAAATTCCCTTAATATTCTAAGAAGAAGACAAGCCCCATGTCTGGTTCCTCTTTCTTGTTGTGAGGGTCCCCTTGTCCATCTCTAATGGGGTGGCAAAATCGACTAATCCCCTCCTTAGGGTTCCATGCATCTTTTTTTTTTTTTTTT